CTCTACAAGCAAAAACATTTTATTTATGATTAATCTTTCCATGAGCTCTTTCATGATTGTTGTGAAGGTACTCAACTGCTTGTTCTAATGGAAAAGGTATGTTTAAGTCCTTTGTTATCCAATCAATAGAAATAACACTGGAGCTCACCAAGAATTGTATGATTGATAAATTCCAACACTAAGTGAAGTCTTTTCTTTCTGCCTAAATACATTAATCAGGTTAACAATATCCTTATGCTGAAATTGTTGGTAAAAGTAGAAAAACACTTTCTACCCTGGCTTTTTATTTCAGTTCATATAGACTTCCTCTAAAAGGCTGACAACAAAAACTGCAATTTGCTTAAATAAAGACTGTCATTAATTTGAAAACACGCTGAAAGTCTTTGTTTCTGCTCTTTCAGCCTTCCTCCAATATTCAAACACATTTGCCACATTACTTTGCATGGTGCATCTTCAGGCTCTGAACCAATACAGCAGCACCAGGAATACAGCAAAGAAAGGAGCAGCTCCTTTCAGCAGCTTAAAAATATCCTCTTGAATGTGTTTTATTTACACTAATAAATCATAGATAAGAACTCCTATATTAAAAGAATCAAGTAAAAATATACTTTTTCACACTGAGGTCCATTTACCATTTAATTTGTATATTACTAGCTGCTGATAATTTGAAGCAGTTTTAGGTTAACTACAAAGCTGGTTTTAACTCGATATAGAAGTATGTTACTTTAATTATATCTCCCCCTCCTTTTTCTTTTTAATTGATGGCTACACTCTCACTGGTGCCAGGTCTCCTTAGTGCTACCAAGAGCCAGGACATCAGTCTGTGTTTAGAGGGAACTTCGAGGGAAGCTGAGGAACCCATATGGCAAAATGCGCCATTATCCCTAATTAAAAATTTATAAGAACTAAATTTTTAAAACACCCAGTTACTGCAAAGAGTGGAAATGGGATGGATATAAAGTACAGAAGTAAGGATCCAAATAAGTAAGAATCTAAATTTATACCCTTGCAATCTGACCACAAGTTATTGTTTCTGTACTTTGCACAAGTTCAGTTAAATCACAGTGAGCTGGTGTGTCTGGCAAGGAGAAAACCCAGCCTGACCCATGTCCAGACTGAAATTCTTGTGGACTTTTCACAGGCAGAGGTCTGAACTCAAACTGAGCTTTTAGGGGAAATCCCTACCACAATGCTGGAATATCTCTGCGAGGAAATGCTTGTGGATAATCCCGGTGGTGTTTGGGGATGGCACAGCCCTGGTGCAGCAAACACACCGCCCCTGCCGTGGCCAATGTGTGCTGGGGAGCTCGGGGAGGAACCAGAGCCCAGTGATGCAACCCACGGCTGGCACGGGGCCCTTGGGAGCCACAGGGCTGGCTCTGAGGATGGCCCCGATCTGCAGGGCTGGGAGAAGCTTCTCGGCTGGCTCTGCTGTCCCTCTCCATGGCTGGCTCTGCTGTCTGTCCCCATGGCCACCTCTGCTGTCCCTCCCATGGCCACCTCTGCTGTCCCTCCCCATGGCCACCTCTGCTGTCCCTCCCATGGCCACCTCTGCTGTCCCTCCCCATGGCCACCTCTGCTGTCCCTCCCATGGCCAGCTCTGCTGTCCCTCCCATGACTGGCTCCATGGCAGGTTCTGCTGTCCCTCCCCATGGCCAGTTCTGCCGTCCTTCCCTGTGGCCAGTTCTGCTGTCTGTCCCCATGGCTGGCTCTGCTGTCCCTCTCCATGGCCACCTCTGCTGTCCCTCCCCATGGCTGATTCGGCTGTCCGTCCCCATGGCCAGCTCTGCTTTCTATCATGACAACAGTCCTCTGAACGGGGAATAATTAACATTGACTCCATGGGGAATAATTAGCATTGACTGCAGAAGGCTGATCAATTGCTCTATTATGCTATACTGTATCATACCACACTTTGAAGAAACTCGTAACCCTTATAGACTGTCCCATCCAGCTCTGGCCTACGTGGTTAATCAATCCAAACACCATCCAGTGTCCAATTAAGAAACCACCCTTTGGTAAACAATCTCCATAACACATTCCACGTGTGCACAACAACAGGGGCAGCAAATGGGGATGAGAATTGTTCCTCATTCTCTTCTCTGAACTTCCTCACAGCTTCCCAGGAAAATCCTGGGAGAGAGCCATGTCTCTCTGTGTTCAGAGGATATGTGATTAGCACAGCTGTCCCTCTCCCTCTGCCATGGCCAGGTGGGGCTGAGGACACCCAGGAGCTCCAGGATGGAGGCACCCACAGCAGGACCCAGGCAGGACACCAGGAGCTCACCCCAGCTCACACACATCATCTCATCATCTCATGATGGTCCAGAAAGTTACCTGAGAAATTGTTTGGGTTTGTGAAATGCTGCATAAGAATCTAGTACTCACTCAAGATTAATGTAGAATGTGCTGTAAAAATTAAAATTATTTTTTAAAATATAAAAAATAAAAATAATATTTAAAATATTAAACATAATAGAATGTAAACCAAAATATATTAAAAATATAAATGATAATAGAAAAAATAATATAACTAAATAAGCCATATGCTATAATAAATACTATAATAAAATATATAAATAAAATATAAAAAGAAAAATAGAAAAATACAAATATATAAAATATGCCTTATCAAATGGCATTTTTAAAAAAAATAGAAATAAACATTGAACTTGAAACAGCTTCCTGATCAGGAAGTTGTTACATCCATCCCAATATTACTCAAGAAGGAACACATTACTTTCTGGCTGTGTAAGGATTTTTTCCAAGTGTTTGAAGCACTCTTACATTGGATAGCTTTAATGATTACACACAAAAAAACCTCTCCAGGAACCAAATGACAAAGTTAGTGTTGAAATTGTTGTTTCCACTCATCTCTGGAAGTCAGTGGGTTACAAGTACCTGATAAATTGAAAACATTTGAACTAAAATGCCCATAGTGACATTATAATGGCAGTGATGCATTTAAGTTCATTAAGCAAGGAAGTACTGGAAATAATTATCAGCAGATACAAATCTAAAGTGGATATTTAGTGCAGATTTCATTTTGAGACACATTAAACCACCTTTGCAGGGCCAGAGCCCATCTTTTATTGTTAGTTGAGACTGTTTTTTTTAAAGTAGCTTGGGATATATTAATTTTAAAACATATACATGCCATGCAATCAACAGAACAGAAATTGCACCTAGTTCTTCAGAAGAGAAAAAAAAAGCACTTTAAATTTATTATTAAAATTACCAGCTACACATGTTACTGCCAGACTGCCAGGTAGGATTAAAATATTCCATTCGATAACATCAATACACTGTTCTCCAGTGGTGTCAGAGAAGAAATATTGTCCCTGATGAGATGTTGCTGAAAAAGTTCCCAAGCTAGGTGAAAATACCAAAGGGTTTCAGGTTCAGCTCCAGCTTGGTGCTGCTGTTTGGTTTTTGTTTATTTCCCTGCACAGGCTGAGGGTGACTTGGGCTTCAAAGGGCAGAGAGCTGCCCTGGGGACAGGGGATGCCCTGTCTGGGCTCTGAAGCAGTGCCTGCTAATGCTGAATTAATTAAAGTTGTTAAGTGACCTCCATTTTGTGTACAGGTCCAAGCTTGCACTGGTTTTTACAGATTGCTTTCTGCCTTCCACGTTAACAGGAGCAAAATAAAAGCTGGATAAAGTTAGAGGAGCAGTGGAATGAAAAATGGGAAAGTGTGTGGTGGGAGGAGGAGGAGTCCAGAGGAGGGGATTGCTTGCCAGGAACCATTCCTCACCAGTGTGGGGAATAATGTTTTAGTGGCTGGGGTATTATAGTTTCCTATTACCCAGCCTTTTGGAAAAGCTTGCTCCCCTGCAGTACCAGGCTCTGTGTGAATTCCTCACTTTTGGCATCTGACTATTTTTACTAAGGTGGGACATTGGATTAAAATGGTCTGAGTAAATCTTTGCAGAGTTAAATCCCACCCCGTGTGAAACGCAAATTCCTCTTCTAAATGACCCAGTGAGTGGTGCTGCTGCAGCAGGGCTGGCACTAGCTTGGTGAAAACGCATCTCTGAGCTTTGTGCTGTGAAACCCTGGGCTGGTGCTGTTCCACCACCTGGATGGATGGCTGGAGGCAACGGGAATGGGCAGGGGATGCAGACAGTGTTTATTTCTGTCATTTCATTATGAGTCCCATGATGTTTTGACCTCCTTAAAATCAGCTGAAAGAAAAGCAGGGAGGCACATGTAACCACACAAATACAAGTTCAGGGATAACTTCCAAGACTGTGTGTAAGAACTGGGTCACGACTTCAAAGAGACCCTGGACATCAGTCTGTATTTAGAGGGAACTTAAAGAAATGCCGAGGGACCCATATGGCAAAACGGACCATTATCCCTAATTAAAAATTGATAAGAACTAAATTTTAAGACATCCAGTTATTGCAAATAGTGGGAGCGGGCTGAATACACAGCACAGAAGTAAGAACCTAAACGTATAACCTTGTAATCGGACCTGGAGTAATTGTTTGTGCGCTTTGCAAAGTTCAGCTAGATCACAGCGAGCTGGTGTGCCTGGCAAGGGGAGTCCCAGGCTGAAACGCTCCGGGAGCGTCAGGCACCGCTGCTGCTGCCCGGCCGGGCCGGGTGCGGCTGTGCCGGGTGCGGCTGTGCCGGGATCTCCCGGACCTTTCCCGGGCCCTGTCCCCCCGGCAGTCCCGGGGTGCGACAGTCCCGGGCTTTCCCGGACCGTTTCCCAGATCCTGCCACCCGGCAGTCCCGGGCTCTCCCGGACCTTGTCCCTCCCGGCAGTCCCGGCTCTCTCCTAACCCTTTCCCAAGCCCTGTCCCCCCCGGCATTCCCGCTCTCTCCCGACCCGTTCCCGCTGCCTCCTCCCAAACTCCGCCGAACGGGGAGCCGCCTCCCCCCCGTTACCCCCCCGCGCTGTGCGATGGTGCGGTCCCGCCTCCCCCCTCCGCAGGCGCAGTGGTGCGGCCGGCGCAGGCCCCGCCCCGCGCGCGGAGCCGCCATTGCGGGTTGTTTGTGCGGGCGCGCAGCAGCGCGGGCGGGAGGCGGCGCCGCGGCTCCGCCATGTCCACCCCGGCGCGCCGCCGCCTGATGCGCGACTTCAAGAGGTGAGCGGGGCCGGACCCGCCGCTGCCCAGCGCCCGGGGCTGGCACCGAGCCCCCCGGGCAGGGGAGCGGCAGAGCCGGGGGGAGCGGGGGCACAGCGAGGGGAGCGCGGGGTCCCGCCGGGCAGCGCCGGCTTTGTTCGAGCCGCCTGGCCCGGGCGCCGACGGCTGGGGGCGTGTGAGGATCGGAGTTGGAGCGGCGGCTGCGGGGCCGGGAGTGCCCGCGGGGTCACGGGGCGCCGGGCCGGCGGGGCTGCCGGGCCGGGCCCGCTCCGCTGCCAGGGCCGTGCCCGTGTCTGTGTCCCTGCTCGTGCCGTGCCGCCCTGCCCGCAGCCCCGAGAGCGGCCGCAACCCGCCGGCTCCGGCTTTGGGACAGCTCCGGCGGAATTCACAAGTGTTCTGGGCTTGCTGATCAGAGGGCCTCTCTGAAAATAAGTTTGTTGTGATAGGCACCTGGAAACGAAGCGCAAAGAGTTAGCGAACGCTTCGTTTGTGTGTTATAAGAACCAAAATGCCCTTTTATGTTTTTGTGCACTGCGTTTTTGTGATCGTGTGATACTGTGTTTAAAGTTTACCATCGTGAAGACTCTTGTGTAATATACGCGAACTGCTAAAGGAGCAGTTATTAGTCGCACTTTTAAATGTTAATGACTGAACCACTGACTCTGGAATAAATTATTTCCAGTCTGACACGTAAACATACTTAGAACAGAGTGTGGAAAAGGGTGGGAGGTTTCCTTGCAGGATGTACAGTAAGAGCTCTCCAGACTGGGTCGCTCAGGAGTTCTTGGAGGTGAGTCAGCTTTGATAGTGTCTCTTTTTTTAGCATAGCCATGTTATACCAGGCCCTGAGAACACATCAGTAAACACTTGACGTGTATTGTAGTTAATTTACGTGGCTGCACGTAAAGCAGCAGCGACAAAAGCCTGATTCGTGCATGTAGAAGCAGGAGGAGGTTTTCGGGAAGTGGAGCCCTCCCCTGCTGTTGTGTGAGTGTTGGTGTTTGTTAAGTGGGTGTTGCTTGATTCCTGTTCAAATCAAAACAGGATATTCAGACTTTTTATTGTATTTGCTTACACAGATGAACCAGTGATTTTTTTTCAGGCTGACTACCTCAGTTTTTCAAGATTGCAATCAGATGTGGGTTTTATGTTTTTATATTCCTACAAGGACTGGTTTAATAATTTTCAAGTTAAGGTTGGAGAGAAGGTTCTAAAGCTGTGGAAAAATATAACCGAGTAGACAATGTAAATTAAATCCATTTGTTGTATATATAGCGACTTTGATATTCCAAAACTTACGTAACTTTTTCATGTCAGTTTTTGTTTTACTCTGCTCTTTTGTAGTGCAAGTTATGTATTTGTTTCTTGTGTTACTTGTACTTCATACTGAAAGAACAGACAATGTGCTGTGAACTCTGATTTACTTCATGAAATATAAACTGCTTTTGCATACTGTGATTGTCAGGAGCAGTGAAGAGAGAAGAGTTCAGCAGATTTCTTACCTCCTCTAATTTGTTTGAATAAACCAAAAGAAATAAAAGTTTATTTACTTTGCTGATAAAAAGGGAGTACTCAAACCACATTTTCCCTGCTGTTTAGGACTTTCAGGATTAGCCCTATTTGCAGTCCTTGCCAGATCCTGTCTGCAGTTAGACCCTGTGACAAGCAGGGTGCACACGTGCTTTGAAGTTGGTCTAAAACCCAAAGTCATCTCCCAGATGCATTTGTCAGGTTAATGTTCAGGCACTGCTGCTGGCCTGCAGCCTGGCTGTCACGTAGGAAGAAATCCTGTTCCTGCTTTCCCTGACCAAAATAGTAGGTGGTTTATGCTGTTGATACTCAGCTGTCTGGACTGTGTGTGCTCCAAGAGCAGAGATGTAAACACAGAGTTCAAAGGGGCTCTGTGGGGCAGCAGCACTGCTCAGCATCCTTGGACAGCCCATGGTGTTACCCCAGGCTGAGGCAGTGCAAGTGCAGGGAGGATTGCCTGCACAGCTCTCAGTAAATCTGTATTTACATATGGCATTTAGCTAGAATTTGTCCCTTGGTCTGCAGAGCTTTTTGTAGTGACTTGTTTGTAAGTGGGCTGTGATATTATCAAACCTCATGGTAACACTCAAGAGTTGTTTGTGACACAAGGGCAGTCTCTGTGTTTTCCTTATTCTTGCATAACTCTGGAGGTAAAACAGGTGAGGGCAGTAGGAGCTGTCACTGAGGGGGTTTGAGCAGGTGGATTGATTGGGAGCTGCTGGTGTACATTTGTCAGGGTCTTGTGATCCTTAATATGGATCAGTGATGGGCACAGGGGGCATTTGGATCCCGTCCTTTGGCTGCATTACATATTTCTGGTTCAAGTCTGTGAAGCTTTCAGTGAGCAACATGCTTTTGCCTAGTCCGAGGATTAAGGAACTAAAAATAATTTTAAATGTTCCTGTAATTGCTTTAGAGATAAACACATTTGTGGGGCTGGTAAGAGGGAGTAGCAGCACGCAGGTTTCCCCTTTGCTCTCTTTTGAAGCAATCAGCTTGTCAGTCAAAATAGGCTTATACCAAATATAGCCACTTGTCATGCACAGATCTGGGTGTGCAGGAAAAGCTCCTCTGATGGTCCCTTGCCTTGAGTCCCAGCAAGAATGCTCTGTGTGTGTGCCATTGCCTGGATTTCAGCTCTTGCTTGTGCCTGCAGCTTGTTCTCTTTGCTGTGGCAGCCAGCAGCAATTGCTCTCTCATAGTTCACAGCGTAGCACCATAAATCCCAGCTGTCCATGGTGCTTTAAGTTATTCTTACAGTTAATCCTTTGCTCCCTGAACACTTAATCAGACCTCTTGTGCCCTTGTGTCTCAGTGTAAAACATGAGAAAATCTTGGTGTGTGTTGCCTTGTGGGTCTGGCTTTCAGAGTGTTGATAATCTGCATGTGATGCTTTGTGAATTCTCTGATCTGGAATGAGAAAATATTTATAAAATGTGGATATTACTGGTAAGTTATATCTGCAGGTGGAAGTATTTAATATATATGACTTGTCATTCTATGTTTGTAATTCTTAGATTGCAAGAAGACCCTCCTGTGGGTGTCAGTGGTGCACCATCTGAGAATAACATAATGCAATGGAATGCAGTTATATTTGGGTAAGAGTTTTTGGTCACTATGAAATTCGGTATTAGAGGGCTAAATACGACAACCTGATGTTTATTTCTACAGTTATTCTCTTGTTTCATGTATGTAAAGTCAGTAAACTTAAAAAATAGCCAAGGTAAAAATCTCTTTTCACAGATAATGGGGAATTGTTAGGAAGGAAAAAAAACCCTAAATTTTAAATTTGTTCAGCTTTTTTGTTGAATAAAGCTTGCATGTGGCTTAATAAATAGGTTATACTGTGTTATGAAAAAGCAGAATTCCTCCCTTAAAGTATGTAAGTGCCACATGTTCTCAGCCATTAAATCCAGATGTATTAGTGATTGGATTGAATCCTAGTAGGACAAGGTACAGGATCTGTCTGGGAAGTTACATTAAATATTTTGTGGAAGAGGGGGTGCCTTAGTATCCTTTCATCAAACTGAAGTGTGCTTGCTAATAGTCTGCTCATTTGTTCCAAACTAATCACCTAAAGGCCTGTGTATTGTTTGGGATGATGATAAAGTTGATATCCCAAATAGCAGGTCACTGTGGGACATGTCTTAGATACAACAAAGCTCTCAGAAGTTTACCTATGGATGCTTTTCTAATAATTTAAATTATTGCTTCTGCCTGTATCTTGGAGAGGATGAGAAAGAAGATATACATTTATTGTGCCTGTGTGGAAGTAGGTAATGATCACTTTTAACTGGAGTTTCTTTTTAAAACCTTTCAGGCCAGAAGGGACGCCTTTTGAAGATGGTAAGTTGCTAACTTTTGTATCCTTTGTCATTCTGATAAATGTTAACAGTACTAGCATTGTTCTGCTTTTGAAAAGTAATAGATGTGTATAATTTGAAACAAACCAAGTTAAGTGAAGCAATGAGGGCTTTAAAAATATGTATCTTGATCTAAGCAGTGTCTCATTGTGCTGGCTCATGGTTGGTTAGAAAGCTATGAAGCAATGCTCCTATCAAGGCTTTTTCATACATACCCACAAGAGCTTTTAGCAGGGATTATTGGCCTGACACTGCCAGGTGTGTTTGCACATCTCTTTAGCTGAGCTCAACAAGAGCTTTTCTCGTTTCATCTTTTGGCATGTTTGATTCATCACTGTTCTCCTAATGAAGAACAGGTGAAAAACCTGGAGGTGTTCTCAATATAGAACTCAGTGAGGTTGAGGGAATCCCAGATTTGTACATAAACATGAAAGCTGGTGTGTAATGACCCTCCCTCAGGCATATGAAGAATAATGAGTTTAATAATTATAGTATTATTGCAGTAATTGGCAGCAGATGGGTTTTTCTCTGTGTTGGGTTGGAGGAATTACAGTAAATTATTCACTGATCCATAACAAAGGTTTTCAGTGAATCAGTTGTGAGCTCCAAAGACAGAGATTGCTGATTATGAAATCCCAGTGTTTCTTTGCTGGCACCACAATGCCTTCTTAATGAAACGCCTTAAAGTCACCCCAGTCCATGGGCCCAGCATCCCTGGGTCATGGAAAAGTGGGATAATGTTGGATAAAGCTGCCTTTGCCATGTGTACACTGAGTCTCCAAGCTCCTACCCAACCACTACTGCTGGGTTTGTTACTCTAAGCAGTAATTCCATAGTTCCAATGTCACTTGAAATGTGAAAAGCAATCAGATTCAGTGTTGGTTGTTTTTGTTTTTTTTTTAAGATAATGGTGAGGAGAAATACTGTTTATGGAGTACATAAATTAATTTGTTGTTTATGTTCCTGGATATGTTCTTTTGTTGTTAATTATCTGATTTTCTTTATCTTTGTTTGGACAGGTACTTTTAAACTAGTAATAGAATTTTCTGAAGAATATCCAAATAAGCCTCCGACTGTTAGGTTTTTATCAAAAATGTTCCATCCAAATGGTGAGTAAAGCATCTTTATTTAGCTGTAATGCTCATTAAATATTACAGTGTGGTCAGGCATTCTCTGAAGCTCCAGAATGCATAATCTCTCTTCACTGCCATCTCCTAAGTAGATGTCTAGGACAGCAACTGCTTGACAAAAAATTGAGAGTTATGATGCTATTAGGAAGCAGCTATCTGCCTCTTACTAATCAATATGTAGCCTCAGTAGCAAAGCCTGTGAGTATTTTCAGCAGCAGCAGCTGCACTTAGGTTGGTTTAAAGAGGCAATTCTGGCTGCAGATTCCTGCCCCCTTCCATTTAACAGCAGCCATGTCTGTGCAGCCACAGCATGAGCTGCAGGGAACTGCTGGAGCCAGGTGTTGATTATTCCTGCCAGGTGAGGTTTCACCCAAGTCCCTGCTTTCATCTGGTGCTCTGTGCCCACCAGGACAGCACAGGGAAGAAAATGAGGATGCTCAGTTGTAGAGGAGACATCTGACCCCATCTCAGTGATGAGGGCAGCTATGAGAGTGCACTGTGCTGTCTCCCCCAGCACTGATAGTTTTTGCTGAGTGCAGGAAAAATCCTGCCTGCTGCTCCTTGGTAGAAATTATATCTCAGATACTGTGCAGGCCAGGTTGTCTCTGCCTCAAGGTCTGTAATTTGTTGGGAGCAAGCTGGAAGACAAGGGTGTAGAAGTTTGAGCAGTGAATCTTAGGTTCATGTGAACTCCATAGGGCTGATAGGTATCCAGACAGAAGCAGGATTTCAGGCACTTTTCCATATTTTCTGTCTGCCTTGGTGCTTCTCATAGTGAGTGTGTGCAAATGGGGCAGGAGCTGCCCCTGCTCATGGTGTGAGGGGTTCCACTCCTGCAGTGAAGCCTTGCTGCTCTCTGGGAGCCTGTCCACTGTGACAGTGTGGGTCAGTCACCCTGGAGGAGCAGGACACCAAATCTGTCCCTTCCTGTGCTGGTGCCATAACCTTCAGACCTTCCTTCTTTCCCTCTTAGGTGTTCTGTTAATTTCAGTAATAAATCTTCAAAGCATGTGTCAAGCCACAGAAGATGGTGAGACAAACTGCTGTCCTCTTCCCTAAAGCATTAATAATCTCAGCACAGACTGCATAGGAACAATAACTCTGCCCTGAGCAGTGCCATAAATCTGACAGTTTCTAAGTGACACCTGTGTTGTATTTACAGTGTATGCAGATGGCAGCATATGTTTAGATATTCTTCAGAATCGCTGGAGTCCAACATATGATGTTTCATCTATTTTAACTTCAATTCAGGTAACTTTGCGTCTGTTTTACCAAATAATTATGTTATTGTTGGTCTCTATTCCAGAATTCACAGCTCAGTGATGAGGATAGCCAGGTGTCTGTATCATGGGGAGCTTCAAATCCTTATGAGCTAAGCAGTATTTTTAGATCAAATAAAGACAAAGATGCTACATAATTGCTAATTCTGAGATCAAAAACTGCCATTATATATTTTTGCACAGGAAAGCAGCTACTGGTTTGTGTTCATTTTTAACTGTTTTTACTCAAGATAGGATATCAGATGCAGAAAATTTTCTCATGTTTGAAACGTTTAGCTTTACTGTGAAGCCCTCAAAGGGACAATATTACTGAAACACACTACTTGGAATAAGTAAAAATGGCCTGGCACAGTGGAAACACACAATTCCTTTGCTCCTGTGTGATTTTCTAATTTTTCAACAGTGATGTTTTGTAGTAGACATCTTAGTCCCTCTTTAGTCCTGAATGTCAGGATAATGTAATTACTAAATAGTCATTTAGCTCCATAGTGCTGACTAGCACAAACTGTCTCTGTTTGGTTTGTGAAGCTACAAGTGTGTGCAGCACTGATGCTTAGGCAGGGTGTAATTTGTGGGTCAGTAATATAATTAGGGGTGCCTAACCATGAGTTCAACTAGGCTTTTTAACTGGGCCATTCTGAGTTCTGTCTGCCTCTGAAACACATTTCACTTGAAAGTAAGTTGATTTTTTCCTTGATTTATATGTGTTGGTTTGTCTCACATTATATTTTCCCCTTTTTCCAGTCTCTGCTTGATGAACCCAATCCAAACAGTCCAGCAAACAGTCAGGCAGCACAACTTTACCAGGAGAACAAACGTGAATATGAGAAAAGAGTTTCAGCTATTGTCGAACAAAGTTGGAATGATTCGTAACAGCTGCTGTGTTACTCTCCATCCTCATAATCATTATGTACAATTTAACTCTCAATAGAAAGGCTACCAGAAATTTCAAGTGCCACAGTTCTATGAATTTGCATAAAAACTCATTTGCAAACAAAATTAAGCCCTCCAGTTTAGGGGAAGCTAAAAGCTTGTGTATCTCAATTAACGTCCTTTTTATTGCATGGTAAGAACTAAGTTATTGCTACATAAATTTGTAATATATCCTGTTTGTATTTTTTTTCCAAGTGTATAATGTTGGTGTGGAGTTTTCATGACAGAATATACACATTTTGTAAATCTGTACTTTTTCAAATATTGAATGCCTTATTTTTGAATTCTTTAGATTTTTAAATTGGAGAAAAGCACTTAAAAAAAGTTTTTATATATGAATATTTCATGTAAAACTGTTAAATACATAACCTTAGTGCAAGACATTCTGCTCTCACTCTTATCTTTTTCCAAGGGCTTTTTTTTTGTCCATGCTGTTGATAACCCTGCACTTTACAAACAGAAAAGTTAATCCACAATGCAACTGTCTTCATGGCATGACTTTGCTTCTGCACCACAGCTTGACTTGACTCTGTGTGTCCTCAGTTGTATGAGGAAGAGACATTTTGGTAGCTGCCAATTACAAATGGGGAAACAGATAAAACTATTTTGCTAAAAGTCCCATCTTAAACCAGCAGCAGAATTGCAAACATAACCTGGGTGACCGGGCTTGATGAGAACATATTCTAATAAGTTTTATTTTTCTGAAATACTGTATTCTACAAACCTGGAAAATGTCATCTAAATCTGCCCTATATTCACATAGTGATACTGTAATATAGTTTTGAATATCTTCTAATAATTAAAGAGGTTTCCTATGAGTTTCCCTTGGGGGTAGGGAAAAAATTAATCACCAACAAAAGAAAACATGTCTGCAGATTTAATGGAGTTATTCTTTAAAGCTGGACTGTGTACTGTGTGGTCAGGTCTCATGTCTGTATCACAGAGGTTCCACATATTTTTAAATTGACAGTTTAAGGAACTTTGGCTTTGTTTTTGTGTTGATGTGGTAATTTCTTACTGTATTCTGTAAACCAGGCTAGCTGACTGCAGTAAAGAATTAAGCCATGTTTTTTCTTCCATCATTAAAATTGTAACAACTTTTCATAATTCCAGCCAGCATTACATATATATTAAACTCCCCAAATCCCATACCAGAATACATGGCCTTTGGTGCCTAAAAAGCAGTGGAAATTTATTTCGCCTAGAAAAGAAAGTGTTGTTTATTTACAGCAGTCATTACTAGAAGTTATTCTCAATGCACTGAAACAAAAATATCAATTTATACCTCACACCTGCTTGTAAAGGTCTGTGGCTTCCAGGAGCAGCACTGAAGTTTAGAAATGGCACTCAGAATACTGCCAAACCAGACTCTGACAGTAGCTTGTGGAGTAAACTGCTGTGCCTTGGATAAGCATTAGTGTACAAAGGCTCAGAAAATATCAATGCTGTGTAATAACTTTGCTCTCATTAAGTCAGTTTGCTTTCCTTGAATTGCTGAATTTGTATTTAGGAATTTTTCAATCTATGGCTGATTAATAACAGAAACTCCAAAGGATCCAATTTGCTTTTGGTTGTGGTGAAGTTTCAGTAACACTGACAAAGTGGTGCTACATGGCTTAAAACATCAATGCAAAGATTTTTTTGTTCATAAATATAATATGGAAAAGCTTCCCCCTTCTTAATCTAAACTTTGAATTTTTTTTTTTTTAATTTGCCTCCTCTTTCAGTATTTTTGTTCCTTTGACGTGTGCATGAGCTGAGATTTGCTGTTCATTAGCATTCACATTAATTTGATTTTTCCTGAACAGCCAGTTTGGCCCAGTTATAGATTGATGACACTCAGAACATGTTTATGTGTCTCTGGGACGTGTGAGAAACAAAATTGGAGCAGAGGTTTAATTAATGATGGGCACTGCAGGCTGCCTGTGCAGAACCCACACTGTTCAGGGACAGGAGTGTCTGAAGGTGTCTGAGAGCATTCTCTGCAGAGGGCAGAACTTGGAGCCTACACCTGGAAAATGTCCTGCTGTCCCTCAGACAAAGGTCCCAGGGTGGGGAGGTGTAGGGAGCTAGAATATAAGAAAATAAAGGGAGTATAGAAAGTAATCTTACCCCTAAGGAGTTGCAGCTGGGATAATTATTAAAGATTAGGGGTAGCCCTGATTTTAACAGGCCACAGCTGAAGCCAATAAGAAGAAGAGTGCTATAAAAGAGTGGGGTGGCTGGTTTAGGGGAATTGGAGTCAGTTGGCTGCTGTGAGAAGGAGTCAGTGCTTGGAGGAGCTGTCCATGAGAAACACCAAGAAGGTATGGAACTTACAGTATGGAACCCCTGAAATACAATGACAACAGGGAGGAGCATTCCCTTGCTCACCAGATTTCCCACAGTAACATTTGCAGGGAATGTGGGAATGGTGAGAATCCAGGCTCCATGGTGACCTGTGGGGACACACTGGGACAGAGGAGCTCCTGTTTCTGCAGGTGGCATCCTGGAGCAGCTGGGGGCTGCACAGGACATCCCCAAGGGGTGTGGGAGAAAGGGTGACTTCTGTGAGCCCTCCACTAATGCTCATTAAAACCAGAGAGCACAGGTTAAAATCTGCTAAAACTTGCTAGAGAACAGATAAATTACCAGGCAGAAGGAAGCAGGCCAGAGGTCATGGTGTACAGGATGCAATGTGTGTGAGCTGTCAGCACTCACTGGTGCTGCTCAGGGCCACAGATTCCTCTTGAAACCTTCACATGCCCATGTTCAGCATCTCCAGTGGGTTTAGATGCACTGACTGTTCCGGCCTGTGTGTTCCTCACTGCTCCCACCTCCTGCCTTTTGGGACCATCTGATCACTGGGCTGAGCCCTGCAGGCTGCCCTGAAGCTGTGTGTGGGTGCTGAAACAGGTCAGGAGTGTGGGTAATGGACAGATGAAAGCCCTTCTACAAAGAGTAGGAGTGATGACAAAGACAAAAAGGTTCAAGTGCCCTGATTCACAAGAGCACTCAGTAGTCACAGTGGCACAATTACCTTCTTAAATACTATACTGGGATGCTTGATTTTTAATGTATTGGTAGATGTAATGCACTAAGCTTGTTAGGACAGTGGGATTAATTAAGGAAGGGCTGATGGGTTCACATTTTGGATTTATAGCTTCTCATGGGGCTTTCGTTCATTGATATTAAACAGTTCATAATCACTTCTTTTCCATTGGATTCTTATAAAGATTGAAAAACAGTGGAGATGTCTTTAAATTATTCACCCCAGAGTTTTTGTCCTATATATCCATGTCATTCCCCTGATTTTACAGTTGGACAGACAGAGGTGTTCAGGTTTGCAGAGTTCTTGTGTCAGTCAGGAAGCCACTGGTGGGGCTATGGGTGTGAACCATTCCTGGGCATTCCCCAGTCTGAGTTTCAGGTATAAAACCACCTTTGCCTTCAGGTTTATCACACTAACATTATTCATAAGAAGAATCAAACGCTGCACTGCTCGTGCTGCTTTCTTCAGATCTCATTTCCCTGAAGATGTCTCATCCAAATGCAGTCCCAAGCCAGAACTAGGGGACTTGGATCTTCAGAAATGTGATTAACTTCACTCGTGTGAGTCGTCCCATTGGGATTCTTCACCATAGTACAGATAAATGTGTGTAATTGAAGAATCAAGGCCTTAGGCTGTGAGAAGTGAAGAAATCACAGCTTGAGGTACTATATCTGCAGCTTCTTTGTGGGAGGTTTTGTATTAATAGTCAATTAATTCAGTGTGTCAAACAAATAAAGCTCTTAAATATTTAGAGATTAGGAGGTGCCTAATAAAAAATTTACAGGAAAAAAGGAAGATTCCCTGATCACTACAGGGGCATTGAGATATTCAAAATAAAACAGGTAGGATAATGTAGACAGTTAAATACTTCACATTTAACATGTCAAGAGTCTGTGAAAAGAGCTTTTGATGTATATAAAAATGCACCAGGAGAGGAAGAGACTTCTCATCCAGTCAGACTTCCCCGCCTGTGTTTTTGAGGTTTTTACTGTTTGTGGAAGCTGTCCCAGGCAAATACTATGCCTTATTTATTTGGAATTGTTTTCTGGAAGAGGAAAGGTGTAATCAGCAGGCAATCTGCTGTAATGTGTGAGTTGGCAAAGCAGGTTCTCCACCTCTGCTTTGGATGGGGCTCCGTGGTGAGTGGGAAACAGTGACCAGAGACTCTGGGTGAGTGGGCAGCATTTGTGTGAGCAGTGCCAGCTCCAGCACTCTGTTTAATTTGTTGTTTAAGTATTAAAACAATTATCTGACCTCCTCTCCCTGATTTTGTTAATCTTTCTAATGGAACAGCTTCAGCACAGTACAGAATGTGTGTGTCCTATTGTCACACTGACAATGGATCACAGACCCTCCTCAGCACACCCAACTTCCTTAGAAGTGTAAAGTGGTGTAAACCCTTGGATCCAGCCTTGGGCCATATGAACACCCTGTAGCTAGAGCAGTAAATTATTTAGGAGGTGTTCTTTTTATTTCATTAAAGTTTTGGGGATAAAACCAGTCCAAAACTAGAAGACCAGCAAGGGAAATGTGTTATTGCAAGCAAGTGGACAGTTTTGTTGAACATAAATCTTCACAGATAATCTCTGGAAATCTCTTCATATTCATGATGGTGAAAGAGGTGAGAGGAAAAGGAGCTAAATCTAAAAAAAAATTAAATATGCAGAATCAATGAGCAGACCCCATTAACAGGATGCTGCACTGCTTTTGCTGTGCATTCAAAGGATATGAGTCTTCTAGAAAATAATTTATCTTGGATTATATGTGTGTATGTACATAGGAGAGGGCTTTTTGAGCTATTGTAGAAACTTTAGGTAGTAGTGTTTGAAAATAATTGGGCTTTAGGATTTGAGGAGTTTTTGCTTAGCATTGTTATTGCTCCTTGAATTCATCTCATAGCTCAGCCACCATGAGCAGAGAACAAAAAACAGGCAGAACTTTTTAGACTTTCTGATAATGACTGAAATTAGCATCACAAGCTATGGAAATTGTGATATTCCCTAAAGCTTTCTTGTCATTATCCTCGGTTTCTGCATTGAAAATAAAGATTTTTAAGACAGGGTATCTTCTGTATTTGGTACTATCCCACTAATGGTAACATTCAGCCTCCGTGACTGCGTGAATCCATTCTTAATGCTTGTGTCTGCTGTGGTCTGTGTGAAAGCTGCATCCTGCCAGAAAGCAAACATGCTCCTCCCAAGCAGGGGATGTTGTTCAGCAT